TGTCTTTGAAAGCCCAGGCACACGTGCAGTTTGAGGGAAAACAAGGTGGCAAAGGTGCATGTTATGGCCAAAATTACATTGTTAATTACATTTGCAATTCTTTGTGGCTTCGAATATGAGTTTCAGTTTCAATGTTTCTTGTGGTTAAGGTTTTTTAATGGCATTTAGAAAGGGTAAAAGGGGAAGTCATTCGAAATATTTCGATCTTCCATAAAGTTCAGAAGTTAAGTCTCACTTTGAGAGAGGATTTCATACATGGATAGACTGAGTCTGTTCGTGACAGATTCATACCATTTGGACAATCCTTTGTTTCGTTATTACAATATGTCAAAACTATTGGACTGGACTTCCCTTTGCTCTCTCTGTCTCTCTTGTCTTGCTTCTATCTGGTATAACAACAGCAAATTGCAGCTTCAGTATTCTGGCCAAATCGGGAAACCACAAGTTAGTTACATCTCCATCTAGCTGTGTGTAGGTGTCCCTTAAATATTCATGTACATCATCATCATCCTCATCATCATCTCCATCATCATCCCTTTGCCGTTGACTGTCTGGGTTTCGTCTGCTTTTCGTTTGAAGCGTAAATGACCAAAAGGTCATTTGGCCATAATGTCTGCCCTGCCAAGAAAGCAAATTACAGCTTGATTAATTATTAACTGTCGGTTCTGACTTGGGCAGACCTGAGTGAGTTGGTTAATTCTATTGGCTTAGATTGGGTGTGAATTTTCGTGAATTATTTTTACAGAATTTTTATGTTAAAAAGAAAGAAAGAAAGCTTATTAGAAGTTGATTTCAGCCTAAAACTAAGTTTATAAATATTAAAAGGCCACTTAAAACTAGAGTTAGGTGTCAAAAGATTTCCTTAATTTAATTTCTATTTATTTAATCGATTCACACTAATAAATAGTTGCAAATTTTGCATTTTAATCTCATTCAAGAAGCCCCAAAAGACTTGCCTTTAAAGCTTTTGGCCTTCTTTGCCACATTTAAGCTGAAAACTAAAGGACTTACTCCCCCAACCAAACGTACCATTATCTCACACACTTTATGCTCACATAAATGGTTAGATTAGATGCCATTTTGTTTGCTTTGTGGCTAGCCAAGTTGTTAATGTGCATCGTCATATGCTTGAGATGAAATTAGTTGGCCAGAATAAGGCGGAGAACAAAGAGAGTATTAAGGTGTATGGCATTTTGGGAAGAAGCTTTTGGAATTTAACTTTAAATTCTACCTAAGATGTGTTTTTCACTTAGCAATACTTTAGTTTTATATCATTCTTTAAGTTCCTAAAGACCAGCTTCTAGCCTACTTAACTTTCTAAACTGGAAATTCCTTACCTTACCTGCTTAATCATTACTTAATTAAGTTTTAATTTTCACCCTACATAAACTCAATTAAAATACATTTCTTTTTTATGTTTCACCCCTCATCTTAGGCCTGCTAACAAAACTAATTGCAGTAATGTTTAGCTTTTATATGGAAACGCTTTAGAACTAAATGCCTTTCCGCTTTTCTAATTAAAAGGAAGTAACAGGCCCAGTCCCAGTCCCAGTCCCACCAACACATTCACACAGCTTAATAGTGTTTATATATATATATATATATGATAAATAGAAAAGCGAAATGAATTTAATTTGAATTCATATACCTTCATACATATTTCCGGGAACAACAGCTAAATAAGCATATGCCAGACCATTCTGTTTTTGGCGGGCCTGGAGGAGTCCAATCTAGAGACCTGGGGAACTGAGAGTACCAGCGACACTACGAAATTTTTAATTACTCGTACTCAACTTTCAAAAACTGAACTGAGTATCCGGGCAGAAGGACGAGAGCTCATTTTGAAAATTTTCATAATTACTCGCCGCCGCCGCCCGACGACGACGACTACGATGCTGACTTGTTAAGTCAAATATAGAAAGGGAAAATCGGGTGGGTGAGAGGCGAGGTGAGGCGTAGAGTCACGGAGAAAGTCAGTTGAGTTGAGTTTCGTGGACGATTGCGGACGAGGTCCTTATGGTGGGATAAAAACGGGTGGAAAGGGGGGAGTCCTGATTCAGAGCACCACTCACATGAACGGCGACCAGGACTAAACGAACTTGTACACAGGACCCCTTTGCCACACAGCCTCCCTGCCACAACGAATGAATAAATATAAGAGTGTGTGTGTGTGTGTGTGTGTGTGTTGCTCCGCTTGAGCACCTGCACCCGTGTATGGTGGGTGGAGGTTATATCCTCAGAACCCCCTTTCCCCTTTCATAAGAGGGGGGGTTCCGGAGAGGCCGTGCACTTGAAACTAAAGGCTAAGTAGGCGCATTCACACAAACATTCCGGCACAAATGCAGCGCCACAACAACTCGGTCTATCTACGGGACAGTGTTGTGTGTATGTTTGTGTGTGTGTGTGGGTGTAAGTGGGAAGGATGTATGGGTGTGCCTCACACTCACTAACAAACACAAGCAAAAGTTGAGTATCCGGCTTGATGGGTCCTCTTCCACCTGGCATTGGGCTGGTTATGTAATTAAATTTATTTAATTTGACTTATTATGCTCATACATGTACACCTGCAGATATGCAGGTTACGGTTGTTGGTAACTAATTGGAAAAGCGGGAAAGCTAGTTGCCTTTTGGGTAAAGCGAAGTGGAAGTCAGATGATCTAAAAATGATTTTAAAAGATTTTTTTGGTAACAGAAAGTGAAATAATAAACAGGTTTTTTATCTACTTTCATTCTTAACTTTCTTTTCTTTCAGTGCTTATATTTTTTATACTCACTGAAGCACACCTTCCGGGCTTTTAAAAGTTTTGCCAGAAAATGAAACGAAAATGCGGTCAGCGCTTTATACTTACAGCCACCCTAATTAAGTTGAGTTTTGGTTAAAGTAAATAAACTTATTTTATGATTAAAAAGGAAATTAAAACCCAAACCAACATTCATTTTTTCTGAGTGCAGCTATATACATACGTATCTCATCTACTCAGCCATATATCTTAGCTTTCTATGTGAGCGAGTCCTGGGCTTAAGCCCATAAGCCTAACAAACAGTTTCACACAAGGACAAAGAAGGCAAAATGAGGGTTTACTGAAATTAATGGAAAGAAAGCCCAGCAAAAAGGTGACCAGCCACATTAGGGATAAGCAAAAACAAACAAATTATTAAAATTCTTCTATCTGAGATCTCTCAATTATTAGCCGAACTTGATGTGTTAATTGATTAAGTAAATTTTCCACTTTTTCTCTCTCCCAAACCCACTCTCTCTTCTTGACATACCATGTAAATGAAGTAAAGCTAAAAGCATGCAAATTGTTTACACGAAAATTCCATTATGTTTGCCGAAATTCAGCGGTTGGGTGTAGGGAAGTTAAATGCTGGCTAAAACAGTAAGCCAAAACAATGTTAGGTTAGGACTGGTAATCAGTAGTCAGTAGAAGGCAGATAGAAAGTGATGAAAACTTCATGTAACATAGATCTATGATGGCCCATAACAAGGAAATCACATTGCCCATCTCTCATAGTAAACGGTGGCATCACCTTAAGTATCATCATAACCATCATTTGAGTTTTTTAAATCTAATACCAGAGAGCCTTCCCCCTTAACAACCAGACATACATTCATTCCAGATAAACCAATTGCTTAGGCTTCTGCATGTGTAAAGTGAATTGGGCATGGAAAAGGAGGAGGTGTAGACTGGTAAATGCAAATCTGAATAAGGCAAAGACATAGGCAAAGGCAAACAAGCATAAGAATGAAGTTACTACCAACCGAACCAAAAGATACCCTGTTTAGATAAGCTGATCTGACTTAACTTGGCCCAATATATACCTTTTTAAAGTTCACAGTTTACAGTGGTTTATAAAAACAGCAAGCTGAGGCAGGAAACTCAGCAAGTCAGGAAGTCTGTCGACGTGAACGTCGTCGTCATCGTCATCATCAACCACCCCACCATCTCCCACACAGTAGACGACGTCCTTCGTACGCCCATCTTCGTCTCCCATCCTTCCTTTGTTTTTGCTACAATGTCCCGGACTATTTTGGTTGAATGGTCAGAAAAGTTGCAGACAACACAAACATAGCCTGGCCAACAACAGAAGGCAAAAGAACGAGAACCTAGCTGGAAAGCTCATTGTTTTTTTGGTTGAGGACAAAAAAGGAGCAGCCCTCACGTGTGTGTGTGTGCGATGTCCTGTTGTTGGGAGGAGGGCAGGAATAGCAATAACGAGCAGAAAATTAGCAAGAAAATAAAATCGATATTTACTTGGAGTGCGTTTAGGTTTCTCATTAAAGATTTACCAGACGCATTTAAGGCCCAGCACATGGACGCGTCACACCTTTTTCAAGGTAGCTTAATGATTCAGCGATTCTCGTTAAAGCATAAAAAGGAATAATGTAAGGTTGAGTAGTCTGCCAGCTATAAGTCAAAGATTGCAGACCCTTATGTTGACCCCAAAAGAACCTTTTTTAAGCTTTTAGCTTGGCTTGCAGTTAGACCAGACTATTTTAGGAACTAAGACTAGCAGAATATTTAAACAGGGAACTATGTAAATACTAAAAACAAACACATAAGGAAGTACTATGAATTTCCCTTTATTTATTTAAAAATTGCTTGTGCATTGTTTTTTTCGATTTCAGCTTGGAATTTCATTCCAAGTCATTTGGACCCTCGCAATTGCCGCCTTCCATTTCCATTAGCTTCCGTTGCGGAAGCGGAAATGCCACACAGTTGCGCAGTCAAACTTACTGAGAGTCTAACTAAAAATCAAAGGGCGAATATACTCCCACTATAGTTTTGGCCAACTTCAAATTTGTACAACAAAAAACAATAGTTTTTGGCGGGTTGTTAAAAAAGTTTTTATACTACGAAAGAGTATTGATGTTATGATACCCTGTGACTAGCTAGGATAGTTCTAATTGAGAAACTGAGTATATAACTTACCTTATAAAATCATGAAAATATCCTTTAAGACTCCTTAAATAAGTAACTTTTATTACTCTTTTGCAGATTTTGGCAACGATTGAATACCGAAAAGTCCAAGTGTGATATTGCAGCCGCGTAAAGTTTCAGAAACAGTAAAAATTTGTGTAACTCGCATACAGTAAATTCGGAAGCGGATATCAAAGCAGCAGTTCCAGAAATAACCCAACATGTTGGCCTTTCACAACGAACACATAGCCAGTAAGTATGCAACAAAATTTGTTTAATCTTATTTTGCTGATTTAAACAGGGTGGCCCATGTAACGTTTGCTTTTTGAACTATCAATAATTTTGACTTTGACATTTCGAATGTTATTGTCAATGTGGCAAATATTTAATAGAAGGTTAGCGGTTTACGCTCGAAGAATATTGGGGAACGTAAATCTTCCGGGGGCCATATTATATTATTTATTAAAACAGCTAAAAAGATTCCAATTTACCCATTACCCTAAAATAATGCTCTACGAGTTAATATTTTATCATATAAAGACATTTTCTCATTAAGGTTAACCTAAAAGTTGAGAAATCACCTGAGATAACCCCAATTACTGAATTTAATTATCACATGAGAGGTCAGACAAGGACTAAGATGTTGGGATAACCCAAAATCCATCCGCAAAATCAATTTGCATTTGCAAATTTGGTAAGCGAGCTGTAATTGCTACAATGCGCACTCTGTGCCCCAGAAAATTGAATGGTAGAAGGGGGAGTTAACTACTTGTGAGCCTCAAACTAATCAATTATTAAGCGAGCTCCATTTAACATTTAAAGGTTGCCCACTTACCTCCGGCTGGCATAGTCTGCTATGGGTAAAAACCCATTAGGTATAACAATTTCCTGTGTGATGGAAATGGAAGGCAACGAAGAATAACAGCAACTCGAAGCTGCACTTAAGATGTTTCACCCAAGGATCCTTTGTGTTGGCGGTGGAATGGTGAGACAGTTAAATCGGCCTGTTACATCGGCCCTGCTCTCAATAAACAATAAAAGCACAGCCACCACGGCAACATCTGAAGCCTTCGGCATTATATTTAGGTTTAAGCACATAATAACTTAATACCATAAAAAGAAACCAAAAAGAACCCACACAGACGACGAGGGCTTCCTCTGGAAAAACTTGTATCAATTATTTAGCTAGCTGCCTGTGCCGTACATATTAGAAAATTTAAGCTTTTCCTTCTTCGTTTCTGGGGTAGAAGTTGTGTATAATTCAGTGGCGGCTAATATGTCTGCAATTTGCTTAAGAATAGATACACGACTATTACAACACATGCTAAGTTTTGGTTTGGGAAAAGTGCTTGTCGAAGGCTTTTGACCGTGGTAAGGTTATAATTTCTTATTCGTGTTGGGTTGTTCATTTCCATAATATCGTGTTTCGATGTTTATTTTGACAAAACGATCTTAGATACTTTTCTTACTTCAATTTGCAGTAAATTGCTTGAATTTCCTTGAACTATAAGCTGTTTTAGGTATATTGTTAGCTCTCTCTGCTGAAATGCCGAAATTAAGTCATATTATTACACCGCAGCAAAAAAGTATGCTATGATTTCTTAGTCATTATAAGATTAATAACTTTTAGGGAAGTAAATGACTAATTTACAGCTTAATTACATAATTTCAATGTATGTATCATTTCCGATTCATCTTTTTCTTTAAATTTTCTCCTCTTTACAACTTCCTTTCATACAAGTTCTTAGGTTTTCCTTTGAACTTTAGTAAATAAAGAAGAAACCATAATTTGGCTGCTTTTCATGATTGCTATGTCTAAGCAAGCTTGTTAAAAATAAATTTATTGCTAACATAAAATTACAAAGATAGTCTTAATTAAATTTTGCAAGCATTTTTGTAGTTGTTTTCCTTCCTTTTTATATTCATTCTTGTTTATTGCTTGAACAAGCCACAAACATAAATTTGGCCTCGCCAAGAACCACTAATAGATGGCGTGGGCTAACTACCGCTACCTTTACCGACTGCGGTCAGTGGGTTGGGAAAAAATGATTCATTAGCATTCAGCTTGAAAGTTGATTTGCCGCAAAAGAGATACCAAACCGCACTTTCCTCTTGAAAGTGAAAAGTTTTAAAAGCCTAAAGCAACTTATAATATTGCTTTGGAGGCACATTACACAGGCCCCATGAGCCACATTTTGTCTGGAAAGTGGTTAATGTGGGTTAATAAATTTAAGGAGTTTTGGGTGGAAATTTAAAGTGAATAAGTTTGAAATTTGTTTGGGAATATGTATATAGGCAGCAATAAGGTTCAATTAAAGTTAATTAGTTTCAAGGCATTTAATTAATGCGGACTTTAAATTTGATGACTTTAGTTTGTGTCTAATCATGGAATTGGTGGGTTTGCAAAAGTTTCCTTTGATCAGGACATATTGGGTAGTGTTTGTTAAGGACTTTTCTCCTACTATTTCAGCTGTACAGACACAGACATATATATGAAAGTGATTTTTAATTAATAAACTCATTAGGCAGTGGTCTGGTCAACGGGTTTTTTTTTGCCGCTATACACTATGTGAATTGCTCATTTTAATTACTGGCAGCTGTTATATCCCCCACAGCTCTTTCAGCCAGCCATCCTTTCGACCATTCGTCCTTTTGGGGATGGGGGGTGGGGGGTGACTGCACATAATTTCCTGGCATTTCAACAATGTGCCGACAATTTTTATGTTGTTAGACGGCGCTGACGTCGACAGTTGGCAGGTTGTTCGGCTGTTGGGTTGTTGCTCTTGCACTTGTCCCTACAGTTGTTGTAGCTGGTCGCTTGTCGTTCAACTTTTGACGTGTTGCATGCTGTGGCCTTTTGAGTTGCCCAGACAAAAGGCCAACGGACAAAGGCAGGGAGACTGGGTAAAAGCGACTACTCTCTACGCCAGGCCTAAACGTGCGCGCGCGTTTTGGGCTAAAAGTTAAATATAATTGTTGCTGTTTCAGCGGTTACACGGCTAGAAATGTGTTTTAACTATTGATATTTCTTAGTTAGTCAACCCTAGGATAAGTGTCAAATAAGGAAATATCAAAAGTATTAAGATAACTTGAAAAGATTTTGGGGTTCCTGCATTTTTGAGTACATAGAAGTTATTGTGGGTTTTTGTAAGTTTATTTTTTAAAATTTCTTTCAAAAATACCTTTAAAATGTTACCTTATTATAACCATTTCTTTCTGTGCACCCTGGACAGGAACAGACAGTCAATGGGGGTAGCAGGGTGCCCTGGGTATGACCACATGTCAGGGTCTGGCTTCGTGCTGGTGGAATATGTGTTGCTAAATCGGTTTAGGCTGACACGAGCCTGTCGCCGTGCAGGTGAAATACGGAGCGGCAGTTGAGCAGTTAATGAGGAGCAGAGACAGGATCCCCCTTTGCCATCATGAAACTCCAACAACAACAACAGAAATAACACCTAGCGGGCCACCACAACCAAACAATGGTAGGAGGAAAAGCAAGCCAAGCGGTGGGGAAAATTACACGGATTTATGAAAATGGCCACAAAACTGTGCTAAACACGTTGACGCTTTGCACACGCAAACCGACATATGTGTTCGGTGGTTAGTAGTCCTTGCAATCCCCTTTTTCGCCAGGACATTCCACGGGGCCAGAGCGCTTTAATTGTATAATAGAACGAACATGCTTTTTGCGGAAACAAATAGATTAAAATGAAACTAAGAGATAGTTTCGGAATCATATGCCGAACCCCGACTTTAACATTGTTTCGTTTTACACTTATTGATAAATAATTTAATGATTGTCATTGCAGGTTGCGCTTTTCTGACATATTTCAGTCCGGAGACCTCTGCCACGCCAGCCACGTCGCCGACAACGGGAGCCCAGGCTACGCTACACAATGACAAGCAGTCCATAGCAGGGGTAAGTGGCCAGGGGGCAATGTCCTTAATTTCATCAATTAAGTAGCTAGACATATAATTTTCCTTTAAATGCACATTGTTTGAGTGTTGTTTTTGTCTATAATTTGTTGTTGTTGTACTACTGTCACTACTCTCACCCGAATAAAATATTAACAGATCAAAGTGGAAAAAACGAACTATTTTTACCTTTTCTGAGTTGTTACGCTCTGAAAAATTCGAATTTGCATGCCTGAAAACTGAAAATTGTGCAAATCCCCTTTGATTGCTTTCGATTTCGTTGTTTGTGGATTTTCCGTGTGCTAAATTATTTCTACAAAAACTCAGCCAATCCTTAAATGCGTTGTTCTGGCCAATTTTATGACAGGGCAGCCAAAATGTTTCGAAAATTGATAGCAATTTTCACTGTCAAAAATGTGGATATATTTTGTTTTGTTTTTGATTTATGTTTGTTAATGTTTATCCTAATTGAGTTTTAGTCGAAAATGGTGAACATGTGTAACCATGTAAATGCGTTTTGGGAACACATGTTTCGGCTTGTCGATTATCTCACCCTACCTGCTGGCCATTTTGGTTTGATATTTGGCCAGAAAAGTAATTACAATTTGCAAAAATAGTGGAAAATGGAAAAGTAGAAACTAAAAAAAACATAACATTTGTTTGGTCTTTAAATTGAAGGCAATTTCTAGAGTGACCTCACAATATTTCAATTATTATTGAAAAGAAAAACAAATCTTGATTGGGTGTGGTGTGTCCCTGGTCCCTGGTCTAAGAACTCATAACTGGAATTTAATTTTGCTTAAAAGGACAAAAAGAGTCTTCAAAAGGAAATCAAACTAAACACAAGTCGGCACAAGAAGCAGTTTATTGAATATGCAAAATGTTGTGAACTGCAGCAGAGTTGTACAAGCCGAAGGACCTCCTATTTGCCAGCCAGCCCCCCATCCTTTGTCGTAGATAGAAGGATAGAGATAGGCTGGTCCATTCAATCCCATCCTATCTGCTCCTTCAGCCTTTTGTTTTCATATTTTCTTTGTTTACTCTCTTGACAAACACTGAGAGGGAAATTTGTGGCTGTTTTTGTGTGGAAATTTATTACATTTTCTTAGTCTAGGCCTTAGGTTGGTGGCAGTCTCTGGGAAGTCTCTGGTATGGGAGTTTATCTTTCTTCTCAGCTTTTCCTTCAGAACTTTCAGCCTCGTCTTTTTCTATTCTTCTGCACTTGCCAATGGCATTGTGTGTGTGAGTGTGTGTGTGCGTGTGGCAAGAAGTCGACTGTTGCTGCATGTGTGCTACTTATTAAAACTTGAGGGCGAGTCGTAGGAATTCCACCTTTGTTCTCTGCCTTTAGCTGCATTGTTTTGCATCTGTAGACGGAAGGAGGCAGCTAAACTTCCTGTTGCATAATCAAGAGTTGTTTTATTAAATCGAGAAGAGGGAAGGAGAACCTCTCTCCCTTAAGAGAGAGAGAAAGAAAGTATAAACCTAACCCCCCCTGTTCTGATCTTTTAATTAACGTATCGAGTGCTTTGATAAGTGAAGGGGATCCTTCAACTCGAGCCATGGAGACCACTTCAACAAGGGCAACTTGCAAACAGAAAGTGCAGTAATCATCCGGAGGACGATATAACTTCCGGTTTCCTCTTTGTGCCTCAGTTTGGCTGCCAGTTTTTTGCCCAAAACGAAATACGGCCTTTTGCAAAGAGGAAACAGTTTAGCATAAAAATAAAAAGTCAAGCTGTGTGGGGTTCGTACAAGGCGATGGTTCAGTCATAAGAGAGAGAGAGAAGAATAAAAAAAGAAGCCTGAAAACACCGCTCAACTTTTCATGGCAACTGGCAGTTTAGCTTTATCTGAATCTTATGCGCCGCTTTGTCGTATTCAAATTTCCCCATCCAAAAAACGTAGCAAAAGTAGGCGGTGCCAGGAATTGGGTGGGAAAAGTCATAATTTTCTTTTTTCCAAAAAAATGAAAAATATCTCTGCTGCCAAGTAGAAGTAGATAGAGAACGAAGCAAATACGGAAAGTGGGCAGAAACTTTGCACATATGCCAGGGAATGGCCCTCGCTGATAATTCAAAAGCCTTAGAAACGGAAGCTAAAGAAATGCCAAGCAGAAAGGGTCAAGACTCCCGGGTTGGCTTTTGATTTAAGTCTTGTTTTTGCTTAAAAACGTTTTCTGTACAGTTTGCAGATGATCGAGTGCTTATTAGGCTTATTAACTTTGGTCACAGATAGCTCTTTTTCTAGCAAAGTAGAAAAGATGGAAAATATTGAAAAACATGTAAAATCATTAGATTTTTACCTTTATTCAAAGTAACTAAAAAAGTTTGTAACTAATTGAACTTTTTCTAACATACTATTTTTATTTACCAAGTTACAAGGGCTGTTGTATATTTTTGCCATGTCCCTACATCTACCATTAAAAAAGGTTAGTAAAAAAAAAGAACTCAGCTAGGCAAAGAAGTAGCCGAAGTTAACCTGAAATATTCCGAAATCAGGACTAAAAAGGATTTAACCACAGCCTGCAATTAATCACGCCCGCCCCTGATGTAGCACAATTCATGAATGAATGGATTTTGTGGTTAGTTGGGAATCTTCTAGAACTAATGAATATCAAATACTCTAAAAAATATATAAAATATTCTTTTGGAAAGTATTTAAACTGGAAGTTATGTGCTGAAACTTAGAATTTGTATGGTTATTTTTATAAAAATATCTTCGAGTTTTTTAACAACTGTTATGGAGAGTCAGCAACCCCAAGGGCAGGGCATTACTGTGCTGATGAAAAATCCCTTTGATTTTATAGCACACCTTTTGGTTGCCACTCCTCTTTTTCATTATTCACCTAAACTTTGTTTCGGCAGGGAAAAAAGCAAAAATTTGTGTTGTTATTCCAGACGAGAGCTGACCATAGCATACCATACCATATACCATCGCAGGCCTTTCTGCCAAACTGAACTGAACCGCAACTAACTGAGCTAAAAGCCAAGCAATTCCTATTGGGCCCCCGAAGCCGCTTTGGTGCTGGACGACGCTTCAGTTTGGCAATTTATCTGGCCCCATCTGCATTTGTTGACTTTGCGCCAGCGATTGGGCCGCAGTGTACACTATTGTCCCGCTTTGCATAAGAGCTAACGAACTAGATTTTTTCCGCATTCTTTCCTTGGTCTCTCTCTCTCTCTCTATCGGATCCATGGTCTATGGCCATGGAATAGGAGCCCTGAGCTTGGCGTTCGCTTCATTGGCATATCAATCAACGGCCAAAAGCGGGAAACGAATTCACTTACTCACACCACTGGACGCGATGGATGGTCCTGTATATACGTATGTGTGTTTGTGTATATGTGTTGGATGGAATAGTAGGAGGCATGTTGGGCCGCTCAGGATTTTTTTCCTGCCTCGGCCGGATGCCATTTTAATTAAGTGTTGGCGGATGCCAGTTTCCAGAAAAACAAGGACCACGGCCACTCTCTGCCGATGGCCAACAGGAGTGTAAGCGGGAAAGTGAGAATACCCTGTGTCCTCCGTCCTCCGGGCCAAGAGGAATTTAAGATAAGAGAGAGAAAAAAAAACTATATAAATATTCGCCACATAGTATGTTGAATTGGACAGGAGATTTCTGTCGGCTGTTTTGGTCTCTCTCGCTTGTGGCTGACAGTTTTATTATTATTTTTGCAAATCAGTTAATTAATTAAGATTGGCCAGCTGAGCCAAGAAGTCTGTTTGGCAGTTCATTTAGATTTATTAGACAAGTTCTGATGCTCTTTCTTAAGTTACTCTTACTTAAAAATGAAATTGGGAAAAATTTCTCTAAGAAATATATCCTTGATGTTATCATGTTTCCAATTTTAAAGACAAACTAGTTTCTATTTACATTTTATGCCAAAATAATAGTTTTAAAAAATGGCTAAAAATTATGGTTTTAAGCAAATTTATACTAATACTACCATAGAAGTTTCACCCCCCTGAACTATGCTAAGGAGTGTGATTAATGGTAAAAGAACCAGCCTCTGATTTTATTCTCCCGTGGCCATAAAAACTGTCTGAGCCAAAGAAGGAACAATTTTCAACTTTATAAAGCCCATGAAATATTGCCGACACCGACTACAAAGAGAATATTTTATGCATGCGCATGTGTAAAAATATATTTTATTAGAAAACTGGTAGGTCCTCAACTTGAAAATGTTGCGTCACAAGGGGGTGAGGGATTCGGCGGGGAACGTTCAAACATTTTTTTGCATTTCAAAGCCAAATGCGCGACATTTTTATTGTAGAGCAGAGAAGAGGAGCTTGACATATTCCAATAGCGTAATAAAAATGTCGATTTACATTGGTTACGTATATCTGAGAGAGTCCTTGTGGGTGTTATGCCACCTCTTCACGTTATTCATTCACCAACAAGCGAACAAAATAAATGCGCAATTGTGAGAGATCATTTTATGGGGATTTCAGGCCCGTTAAAGTTTATTTAAACTACGGTCACCTTAAATATCGATATGATTCCGATAAGCGATGAATCGCGGTTAAGCTTGGATAAGATCATTGGGTGGGAAGCATATTTCGATAGGTTTCAGTCTTTGTTGAAAAGTGAAAAAAAAGCTGAAATTAAACATATTTTGATTTTTAGTTTGTAAAAATGTCGATTTACATTGGTTACGTATATCTGAGAGAGTCCTTGTGGGTGTTATGCCACCTCTTCACGTTATTCATTCACCAACAAGCGAACAAAATAAATGCGCAATTGTGAGAGATCATTTTATGGGGATTTCAGTCCCGTTTAAGTATATTTAAACTACGGTCACCTTAAATATCGATATGATTCCGATAAGCGATGAATCGCGGTTAAGCTTGGATAAGATCATTGGGTGGGAAGCATATTTCGATAGGTTTCAGTCTTTGTTGAAAAGTGAAAAAAAAGCGTTTATTAGACCCTAAACTGAAATTAAACATATTTTGATTTTTAGTTTATTTAGTAGTTTAGTTTTTTGGAGTTCATTTTAATTTTTATTATTAGTTTTAACATAAGAAGGCTTTTGATTTAAACACTAATATCAACAATCTTACTTAATGTTAACACTTTTGCATGCTTTTTCCTTATCGTACCTCAAACTACACTGCTTTTATAACTTTTATAAAATCTAAACCATATAAACAAGAAGAGGTAAGTAAACTGTATACCATAAGTGTGTCGGAATGTTCCTTTTTTGAATGTCTCTAAGTCTCTGATAAAATATAAACTATATGTGTTTGTTTTTCTTTTAAAAGAGGGGGAAAAAAAGAAAAGAAAAACATAAATCAAATCGATTCTATTACATAGTCTTAAGGAAAGCAAAAATAAGTTATAAGACTCAATGTTGTTATTGACTCCAAAATATATTGATGTTGTTCTATAATTGATGTTGTTGTTGTTGATGTTGTTTCTACTACTCTACTGCTACTACTATTCGTACATAACCATAAGCCTCTCTAATAACGCAAGAACACACTATCCGTAATCATGATTTCCGTTTAATCCATAAATATCATAAATATTACCAATCGATGTTGTTCTCCCCCTGCTCATTGATGTTGTTGTTCTTTTTGACCGTAAATATGCATATTGTTTTTGTTTTTTTTTTATTTTATTTTTTTGTTTTTTTTTATTCTGTGTGTGTGACAGCTTCTGTCCAACATTTGTGTTCTTTCTTGAATCTCTCATCCAATCTCTTGCAGGTTACCGCCTATCCATGTGGCGCTTTGAACGTGCGGCGCTTGCGCTGGCAGCAAAATCCACAATCCCTTGGATATCCTTACCCACGTCTCCAGCTGCAACGCCATCAACAGCCATCGCTTCGAAATCAGCCATCAAGTTCCGGCCGCCTCTGTTTGAGCAGCAGCAACAGCAGCCGCCACAATTTGCGCGATTTCTGCAAAACTCAGGCAATTTGCTAACAGCAATTGCATTCCGCTGCCAGCGATGCAAGTGCCACTTCAGCAACAACAACATCATCATCAACAACATCATTAAGAAATCCAACATCAAGCAATCCTGGAACAATATTAAGCACAGCAGGTCAACTTCTGCAAACGCACAAATTGCAAATGCAACTGCAGCCATTACAGCAATTGCCGGGCCAAATTAGTCACTCGAAATTGGTAGGTGACTAACAGTCTAAGCCAGAAAAAAACCGATAAATTAGTAGGTTTAGTCATAGTTAAAATGGGAAGTAAGAGAAAATATTCAAATTGCTAAATTCATGATTCCTTAAAACAATTTGGCCACAAAATTATTCAAAAATTATCATTTTTACAAGGCGGCATCATTTTACTCTCTGATATCTTTCGCAGATAGTAAAGACAAATTATGAGGAATTTTTCTTAGTATATGATACTAAAAGTAATATAATTTTCTATTTAAAACTAATATAATTTTATAGTATTTTTCACAATTTTATTGAACTTTTTGATCAAAGAAATATTACAAAATTATTCTAAGGCATTTAGATTTTAAACTTATTTAGATAATGAAATGGGAGTGACCCTTAACTTAGTCTTAACAGTCAGACTAGTTTCGATTCTATTCTTCTATTTAAGTGGCCAAAATCCCGAAACATTATAAATAGACAATCGAGCGAACAAATGCCAAAAATTTTGACATTTCTATCAGTGTTCTGCGAAATGATATGTACAAGGCTTCTTAGCCTAAACTCTCGATAATAATTCAGCAATGTCGGCTGGCATTTTCGCTTCCATTTCGGGCTTCAACATATTTGCTCTCGAATGTGTATGTGTGTGTGGCAAACATTTAATGCCTTAATACAACGTGCCACAACTGACTGGGAGTGGAGGGGGCCTTCCATCTTCATCGTCGCTTGCCTGTCGCTTCCCCCCATGTTTGTTTGAAGTGGGTGTTTAGGTGTGTGCCGCTCTCGTCATCATTTCCATCAGGCTGGATAGCTTTTCAAATTCCAAATTTATGCAAATTTTGTCTGAGCCGCGCGACGGGAGACGAGCACACGGCATTTTGCTCATGAATATTTGTGCCAGCCCAAACTCCGTAAAGCCGCCCGCACATTCAGCGCCGCCCACTCAGAATCGACTATATGTATGTATATATGTATATATACACATGTGAAATTGTGCTTTTCTCCCGTTTTCTGTTTTTCCCTCTATTTCTGTTTCTGGTTGTGGATATGGATGTCGATGCACCTTTCCACGAGAAAACTCATGTGCGGCAGGCCGAGGCATACGTCGCCCTTTTTGTATTGCCATCAATCATCAATCAATTTTTTCAGCAGATGTGCGATTCCCTGCCGCTGCTCTCAGCATACTTATAGACCTCGTCGTCGTCGCAGTCGAGCCAGAAATATTGGAGGGCGCGCGAGCTCACCTAGGCGTGCCTTTTGCCTTCAGTGTCTGGCCATGCCAATTTAGCAAACTGTTCGAAAATCATTCCATCCCCGTTACCCTCCTCTCATCCATGTTTTCCCTGGGCTGCAGCAGCTTCAGACCCGGTGGACGCATAATTCCGGTTGCTCACCCGCGTTTAAATGTACATCACGTAAATTCCAAGCAAGATGTTGTTGCCCACAGGATGGGGTTCATCTGTCCACCTCCCAATCTCGATCGTGTATGTAGCTTCGGAGCACGGAACTGCCCTTCACAAGCCCTGGACATGACCAGCTCAGTTCTGGTTAAAAACTTTAAGCTCGGTGGATGCTATCTGAATAAGTAACTTTTTTAAATGACTTAATTAAGATATTTGTTGTGTGGGGGAAAATTACACTGAAAAAGAAGTTAAAGTATATAATAGGCAACCTTATTAAAAGTGTAATAGTATAAAACTCACTACTGGTTAGCTTTTTTCTTTTGTCTTTTATTCTTACAACCGCTTTTCTCGAACGTCAAAAATCAAGTGTCTTTTCAGTTCTTGTTATTCCCCCTGCTCGCTTGTCCGTGAGCGAGATGGATGTATATACAAACGATCGCCTAAAAGCTAACATATATGGTAGAAAGAGATAACAGTATATACGGATAATAATTACAGTTCAGTTGCTACTTCATCTTACAGTGGGTCTTATACATATAAGTTATGCTAAAAGTTGTTCCGTGGACATATTCAAATCACTATTTAAATCACTAAAACTTCTCTAGTTAACCCCAAAGTAACACACATTAAAGCTCTGCACCCCAATTTATGGGTTCCTTAAAAACATTAGGTTCGAGCAATTCCCACATCATCAACAATTGACAGCACTTGCGGCATATTTCTGGCATTCGAGGAACAGATCCAGAGGTGAACAAATGGCAAATATGCATAACGGCCCAAAACCAAAAAGTATTTCTGCCTTTTTACCCTCTCCATTTTGGATATCCACTTCCCAGGACGAAAAACAAAACCCCAAACCCCTAAAAAAAAGGAAACTATATATACATATATAAATACATATATGTATAAAAATGAGTAAGGTAGGATTTCTGGCACAAGGCCAAACTTAAGGCATCCACACGGTTCCAAGGGTTCGAAACAAACAGACAAACACGTCACGAACCGGGGAATAAATACAGGCTGAGGAGCCAAGGAATTCCTAAGTATTTTGTATTGTTTTCAATTGTTTGTTGGCAGCCGAGCATTAATATGATATTGATGAGTATGTACACGGAATCCTTAACGTTGCTTTCAGGCAACCCGACTTAGACCTTTGGCGACCGCTGGGACATGGGTTTTCTATCTTGGGAAAATGCTTAACTTAAGTTTGGTTTATTTCGTATGAATGTTTTTTATAAAGTTAGCAGGTTTTGGTTATGGTTTGAGAGATATGCTAAAAATATTATTATAAAACTAAATAACAATGGTGTTAGTTCGTCAATATTGGATACATTCATTATAAATTTATAATGTTTTAGTAGGTGTGAAGCTTTTCCAATTCGATGTTGTCATAGTGCAAATATTATTAAAAATTCAATTGCATAAAAATTCAGCATAAAAATAATCGTAGAAATATGAAATAATAAAAAGCTTTGGGTAACTAAAATGTCGATAAATATATTTTATATATTTTAATTGCAATTTTTCTGATATCAACAGAACTTTGGCAACATTGCAAAGTTCTTGGCAAGATAAAGTCAAAAACCTCAGGCTAACTAACACCAAGGGTCTACCTAAAAAACCCTCATTAAAGCATATCCTGATCAAAGAGTTTTTTCTCACTGCTGTCCCTGATTCCTATTGGTCGACATTAACACCCAACTGACTTTTAGCCCGCCTGCATTATCAGCGCTCAGGCCCATTCCTTACCAGCTTTCAACACTTGTAAAGTTACGCAGGTAGAGGAAACTTGGGCTTGTGGATTCATTTGCTAGCCATGGTGGAGCTCTTGTGATTTGTCGAGTAAGTCAGCGAGTTCCATGGACAGCTAAACTAAATGGCGAAATGGGGGGAATGCTGGCTCGGCTTCACACGAGTGAGTGCATTAGTTTGTTGTCCATGCTGTCTTAGGTACTACTTCTAGCTGGTTGTTGTTTTTGTTCTATGTGCAACATGCAACAAACTACACGGCCAAGTTGCAGGCACTTCATTTATGTGCGACCGTGTGCGTTGGCAAGTTTTGTGTGACAGTCCTTCTTCTTTTTCTGCTTTCTGTTGGCTGCTTATCACGCATGCTAAACAAGGAGCAGAGACTCGTCGAGGGTCCTTTCTCAGTCAGTTCCAGCGACTGGCAACGAAAATACAATTTGAATTTTGATAAAATGCAGTTGACTTTTTGCGGTACTCTGTGTGGAGTCCTTGCATGCCAAGGACATGCCGCCCACATCTGTGCTCTCTCTCTCTCTGTCTCTCTCTCTCTGGGCGACATTCATTGATATTTTGGGCAAGCGTAGCGTAAATTCAATTTAATTTTGTGTAAATTGGCTGCAAATGCAATTTACAAGTCCAAGGATGCAGCTGCCTGGATTGCGTGTGCAGGAGTTTTGTTTCTTTTTCTTCTTTTTTGTTTTTGGAAACTGTCCAGGATGACGAGGACTTAAAGTTTATTTTTATTTTTGGTTAGTTTCTGTTGAGCCAACAAGTTTTTGGGAATACCATAACAGAGTTCCTGCTCGAATAAATATTTAAGTTGCCTGCAGATGTATATGACTTTCATGTTTTTTATAAAATAGACCTCAGATGGCTGTTATTTTCTGTTTTACATTTATCTTGTTTTTATCTTTTGATACTTTGTTATTTTTGGGGGATTCCCACTAATACCAAGTTTCTGGTCTCCAACCATGGCCAATACAATCGATCACAGGGGCTTAATAAAACGCAACGTAGGGCTTTGGCAACGACCTGTAAGACCTCCAACGAACTTCCCAGGAACTCCTCAAGCTCCCATTAAAACTTTGGCTTAGGTACGAGTTAACGCGTTAAGCTGCAACAAGAAGTTAGAGGACTTGAAATAGCTTTCAGGTTTGCGGGGTCATAAAGCAGGAGGCGCACTGTGGAAATAGTGTTGCATATTGCCCTCTGTGATTTATGCCAGTCATTCTCAGACGACCCAACCCACTCATGCACTCTTCCAACTCCTCTGACTTTCCCTTAAAACTAAGCTCTATAAATGCCAGCGCAGAGGAGTCTCTAACTGAACGAAAAGTGTAGTCGTCGCCCCGCCTCCGAAACTGAGTCGGAAGTTGGCCAAACTAAAAGCAAAAAATGTTGATTAAATATGCAAACACGCAGACAGTTTAGTTAAAATGGAAAAACTAAACGCAAAGGTAAAACAAACTTAAAAAGTCTATAATTAAAATATAGCCACGATATCGAGGGCCATGGCTATATGTACATGGGGTTAAAGCAACCTTTTAACCAATTTGTTTAGTGGCTCACGAAAGTCATCAGAAAAAGTTATATCTATTTTCTAATCGAATAGGGGGTTAGACCACAATTTTGCAAGCATTTAATTAAGTTTTTACTATGGTGGCAGGGCTTAAGGGGTAGTCGAGGACTTAGTATAGGTTAGAGTAGGTGAAAATGTTAAACTTTCATTAACATTTCGTAAGCTTAAGTATAAATTTAAAGGGAAATCGTATCTTGTTTGTTAAATGCCTTAAAACAGTTTAATAAATTAACATATTTGATACAAAACAAGATTTCAGTATCAGAATATTCCTACTCTATCAGAATCTTCCAGTTTAAAGTTGCAAAAACAAAGCCTTTTGGTGTGATTGACCTTCCCAGACTACGACAAGTTCTCCTTATATATATATATATTCCCCTTCAATATCATATTTATGTTTGGGTGCCAGCAAACAATTGAAATCAATACAAAACACTTGGAAATTCTGTTGCTCCTCTTGTCCATTCAGAAATATTTCATGTCTTGCCTGTGGAGGATTCCACTCGTGTCTCGGTTTTTGTTCGGTCCTGTTTTGGGTGTGTTTTCTCCGCATGTCCTTGTTAAAGAACTTCAACTTTTCTTTTTGTTATCGTCTTTTCGGTTATTTTTCTTTTTCCAATACCAGTAAAGGACGATGTGGCATAGGCATTGTTTTTGTGATCGAGTGTAATACATTATTGTCATTTCGATGGCCTTCCTTATGTTCTTCTTTGTCTGCCACAAATAGGCCTCATGTGCTGTCAAGTTTTTGATGAAGTGGGAATGGGTTTCTGTTTTAAGAGGCTTTAAGATTTGGTTTAAGTAAA